TACCAATTACCAAGACAAATATTAAAGTTATAAATGGTAAGGCAAGAGGAAATTATAGAGACCAAAGAATAGGCCTAGAACAGACCTGTGCAATTTGGTTACCTTGCTAGTAAATAGAAAAAAACTTCTGTTCAACAAGACATCATAAATAAAGTGTCTGGGGAGGGGGTCATGCTGGGAAAAGCCTTGGAGAACTTACCTTAAAAGTAAAGGTGCTTCTAAATTAACACATATCAATAAGTTAAGCTGTCCTTGACACGTCGCAGGAGAAACGATTATATGGCAGTAGAGCAGAGCATAGGTATTAAAATACAGACGCTGGTGTCTGAGAGTTGGGGTTTGTGTCCTGTTTCTATCACCTACTTGTAGAGTGACTTCAAGCAAGTTACAGTGCTTCATTTCCTCGTTTGTCAAATGGAGACAAATATCTTACTGCATGCACTGTTGCGGGGATTAGATTAGTTAACTGTGGAGTACCTGGCATAATGATGATATGTTCGTTATCAGTGTCATTAAGGCTTGACTAATGTCACTTTATCATTGCATCACTACCTTTACCTTAAATTTACATAACATCTTACACATTTTTTATCCCTGTGATCTCATTCTACCATTAGAGAACCTACGTGGATAGGTAAAGTGGGCTTCTAGTTCACAGCTTCCATTACCCTGGTTTTCTTTTAGAGAGATTTTTGCTGTTGTGTGCATGCACTAGCTGGAGAGACAGAGATGGACAGAAAGTGAGAACTCATCCCCTAGGGGGAATGACCACGATGCAATCCCTTCTCTTCCAATCTCCGCTCAGGATTTTGGGCATGCACACATATGTGCCTGGCATGAGTTTCAAACCTCGGGGCCTGGGGCTCGAATGGTGGTCGACTACCTGCGAGTTCAGCGATGTAACCATTACTCCATCTGCTGGTCCCTAGCCTGGTTTTCTTAATGATAAAATGAGGGGTAATTTCCAAACTCTTTTGGCTCTACAAGATCAAAAGACACAGGAAAGACATCTGGGGCTAAGAGGTGTTAACTTTAAGACTTGCCCTCGGTCACTGACAGTAACTGGTGGAGTTAGGAGTAAAATCTAGGTCTCCCTCAGTATTGGATCCTGCCTTACAAGGAGACAACAACACTAATTTCCCCAGACTCTCCTCATATCTAAATTTCTTCTTGGAATTGTAAACAGGTAGGAAGGTAATTCACTTGGGAATCATTTAGAATATTACAGATACATTCCAGTGACTAGAAGCAACTAACCCATTACCAGGGAGGGAGCTGGTGGAGATGCACCTCCTTCGTGAACATTAACATGGATAATGGTGAGGCCAGGATTAATAAAGAGAGAGGATTACCTGGGCAAGCAGGCCCGGCTGGATCTGGAGAGGCTGAGCTCCTGGGGCTTGAGTGACAATGGGAACCGCATTTTCCATTCGCACTGAGTAGCCAGCATGCTTAGAGGGAGAGGCCTGCAAACCTATTCAGGAGGTGAGGGAGAGAGGGGTTAGTGGAGGGCCTGGAAGCAGCAGGTGGGCAGATTTCCCAGCAGCGGTGTCATCTTTCACCTCTCAGGTGCACCATTCACTGGGTGTTTGGGAAATTTCCCCTTTAGTTTCTAACTTCCATTCAAAACCCAAAACAATAAAGCCCCCAAGCCTTCAAGTGAATGTGTTCAAAGGCTAGAAGATTAAGTTAAAGTCTGTAGGGCCAATAGGAACTGGCCCGCTGACCAGTTACAACAGAACAGGGCTTCTGAACATCAAGATGTCCGTGCATGTCAAACAAGGGGTTCCGTGAGGAGCATAAATGAGTCCATCTGGAATTACTGACGGAGATCGCGCATGCCCACGCCTGCCTACACCACGGGGCTTGCCAGCCTACATTCTTGAGCTCTCTGTGTCTGTTATAAAGTACACAGCCAACTCCAGCTTTGTAGATGCTACAGAGAAGAGCAGATTCAGGGCTGAAGAATCATGTTGGGGAGGGGCCTCGCAGGTACTTTTCAGGCAGATTTATATTCTCCTGAGAACTGGGCCTGCTCGGCTGGCAGCGATGGCAGCTTTCTATAGACAGCCCACACAGAGGACGCTTCATGTGAGGAAAAGCAGGAGCTGACATCAGCATGACAATGGCCGCACAGACAACGTGCTTATTGACAGACAGCTGGCCAGGGCCTCCATCCTGGCAGGTGGCGAGAATAACAAACCCCCTTGGGGCCAAAGCTCCTGCTGTTGTTGCTGGCTGGCTCCGTGGTACTAGTGCTCTCACTGGACGGGGGCAGGGGGCTTTGCACCACGCACCGAGCAGGACGAGGCTGTGTCTGTTCATCCTTACCTTGGAAGCCGGGGGGACACACGATGAGGGCTTGCTGGAAGGGGTCGGGCCGGGCGCAGATCTGGGCTGTCCCCGTCTGCAGGGGCATGCTCCGCTGGGCCACTGCGGCCATGGATGCCGCGGAGGGCTGGCAGAGTGCAGATTGGTAGTTTAGTATGGAGACCTCGGGATTGGCTAAGGAAATAGTGGCACTGGAGGAGGTGGGAGCCTAAAGGAATGACGAGGGATTAAACAAAAAATAAACAAAAATAAAAAATGAGGGAGGTGGTAGGTTGGGAGACAACGAATCTAAATCAGATAAACTCAAAGAAGGACAAACGAACGGAAGCCAGGAGTGAAAACAGAGGAGTGGAAGTCCAGCTGACGGTCTCAGGGAAACAAGCAGTGGAGTCAGGGCACACGGAACCACCCCTGCAGTGCACAGCCAGGCCTGCCGTGCTGTCTGGGACCTGGACAAGAGCACAGACGGACGCTGCACACCATCCGCCTAACTACGGGGTGGAAAATTAGGCTAAAACATGGTTCGATGAGCTGTTCTACCCCGGGCCACCAGGCGGTGTGGTGGTTATGGCAGCTAGATCCCACATGGCCAACTGCACGGTTCAAGTTCCGGACCTAGTGGCTTAAAAAACACACCAGGTGCACGCACACGTGTGTGTGTGTGTGTGTATGTGTGTGCGTGTGCATGTGCTCAGAATCCCAAAGGAGAATGGAGGAGAAGGGACTGTGGCATGGTCATCCCCCTGGAGAGTGTTTTCTCACTTCCCCTCCTCTATCTCTGGTGAGCACAGGCCTTACAGCAAATTACAAAAGCAGACAAACTAAAAAAAGATGCTCTGCCCTTCTGCTTTGACAAATACACCGGACAACCCAGAAGGCCAGGCTTGAGTTGAGGATTCTGAGACTCCTGTGCAGAGAGGCCTGAGGGCAGTACTGTTCCTGGCGGTCCCGGATGGTTGCAGAGTCCTGTTACCGCAGAGATGGGCAGTAGGAATACACAGAGGGGAAGACGGGCCTGCTGGGGCAAGGGCTTCCTGTCTGAGTTTGTGCACCTAGGCTGGTGTTCTGTTATTACCAAGGCTTGGAGGCAGAGAGGCAGGAGGCTGTGAGTCCAGAGAATGCAAACAGAGGTGGGCTGGACAAGTGTGGGCAGCGGAAGCAATGTTCTCTTTCTTTTTGGAGAGATACCACTTGAAATTGAATTCTCAAGAGGTTGCAGAAGGAATCTAAATTCTAAATTAGAATTCTGCATCTCCCCATCTCAGCCTCCTTCATGCGGACTCTTTAGCAAGATAGGTGGGGGTTATCATTGGCTTCAAATACAACACCATCTACAAGAGTTTTTGCCTCTAGGGGTACAAGGACTAGGGAATAAGGAAAAGAGCCACAGGGGTACCCTGGGCACATACACATGGGGTTTCAATTACAGTATGAGTATGTATCAAATGTGATTAGAAAGACAAGGTCTCACGTGCATGAAGATTTTGTGCTGAATTTTGGTGTAAAGCCAATTAACTGGCTTGAAAATAATCACTAAATAATGCACCCTACTTGGTCACGGGGCAGACATGTTTGAAGATACCTATTTTGATGTGTGTGTATTTTTGCATCCTCATGTGGTCTGCTTCCAGGTCGTGTGGCTGGGAACACGGCAGGGGGGTGGCATCTGTGCACGGGGCTGCCACTGAGGCATGACTTGAGTCCTCCCTCTCCCTATACCGCCACGTATTCCTTGCACACACTGCCCACTGCCTGCCTTGGCACACGCTGAGGTCCAGGCCCTCCTTGGACCCTTGCCCATGGTTTTCCCTATCTGGGGCCCTGCACCCACAGCCTCTACACCCCCAAGCCTGGGGTCACCCTATACCTCTGGTTGGTCACTGCTCCTGTGCTCTGTCCTCCCAGGGGCCCTGGAACCCAGGGGCCCTGACTAATGGAGCCCTGGCCTCCAGTCCTTCCCTTGCAGCTCTTCTTGGGCACGGAGGCTACAATGATTCTAAAAGCCTCCTTGGCGCACATCGGCACTCCCACTCAAGCATCCCCCACGGCGAAGGACCCGGTGTACATGCCTTGGTCTGGCACTCCTTCCCAGGTGGCCAGCCTTCCCCATGTCTGTCTGTCTGTGCGCCCCGCGCTCTGGGCACCGGCAGACTTGCCTGCCCATGTTCTCAGGCACACCATGAGCACAGTCCTTCAGCCCAAGGCGTCCTCAGCTCAGCGCGGGCATAGCTGGTGCTATCGGACCTCCTCGGAGGGGAGCTGGCCCCGAGTGGTGGTTTACACCATTCTGCAGTGTCGTTCCTTCCTCTCAGCACTGTCACAAAACCAGTCTGTTCTGCCTGGTCCTCAGTGTGTGCTATTCTGTATTCTGACTTGCGCTTCTGCTTATGGCCATGAGTTCCTCGAGACCCTGACTCTCGCAGCTCTTTGTAGCTTCAAGGACAAATGAGCTGTGTCCGGCAGGGCCCTGTCTCTGTGTGTGCAGATGGTTTCCCCAGCTTCTAATCTTGCGTAAGGGTCAGCTGAAGAAGCACATACGAAGGTGTCAGAGGTTTCCACTTCTCTCTCCACCCCGCGGTTCTTAGAAAGGACTGGCTACCACCCCCTGGAGAGGTGCACAGAACTGGTAAAAGCCACTCCAGCCGATGACTAGAAACAGTAGTGAAAAGCAAGCGTATTGGTAGCACAGGTTTTCCAAACATAAAAGAAACGACTCCTGGAAGCAATGGTAGTAGATGTTTAAGTGGTATGACATCCTGGAGGAAAGGGTTTGAACTTGATCCATAAACCCGAATTGAAAGTCCTGGTAGAAGGCTAGGTTCAAATACTAGGACACCATGGAGATGCCGGAGAGGTGGCTGACCCACAGGATTGAGCAAGGAACACCCAAGAGAGCACTCCGTACTCAGTACGTTGTTAACTGGCCAACATAGAAAGTTTTAGGAAGCAGAGGAAGTAGCTCCTTGAGATATAAAGGGTTATGGATTTTTTTTTTTTTGAGAGGTTTTTTGCTATAGGGCACATGCGCTCGCCAGAAAGACAGAGAGAGACAGAGAGACAGAAAGCAAGAAATCATCCCCCGGGGGGGAGCGCCATGCCGCAATCCCTTCTCTTCCATTCTCCTCTTGGGATCTTGGACACGCATGCACACCCATCTGGTGTGATTTTAAGCCACTGGGTCTGGGACTCGAACCGCGGTCGACTCCATGGGAGTCCAGCACCATAGCCATTACGCTAACTGCTGGTCCCAGGGTTATGGATTCTTGACCTGTGTTTCCTGAGACATAAAGCATTACAGACTAGGGACCATTTGGGAAAAGGCCTTTTAGCTAGTCTACTGCATGTATGTTAAACTGGCAAGGAACTATTTAAGTAGTTGAACGTCCTTTTACTTCTCACATCAAACCATGGATGTATTTTATTACTTCTAAATATCTCCATGGGGCAAACCAGTCCAAGGAGCTCCTGTGGGAAGCGAGCTACCAGAATACCAATAAACAAAGGAAGTCTTGCTGGATTAAAAGGGCGGACACCATCTGGAGTGTCTAAGTCTCTCCAAAACTGGTGTTGTGTATATGTGGATCCAGACTCTGAAGCCAGATTTCTATGCCCAAAGTCCAAGTCCGTCTTCCATGACATACGAGGTGGCCCAGGGTAAGAGAACCGGTTGCTCTGTGCTTAGTCTCATCCTCTAAAATGGGAATAAGTAGTAAGAACAATGATACCTATCTCACCAAGCTGCTTGGAGGATGAAGAGTTATAACGTGTTTTGAGGAGTCTAGCACACAATGCATGCTAGCTATGAGTGTTGCTAGTTAGTAACAGGAAACACATGCAAATACTTAAGGCTGGGTGTATCCTGAATAATTTTTTTTCCTGGTTTATTCCAAAATAGGGCACAGTAGGATTCAATGCAAGAGACCAGAGATCCTGCTCTCAGACCCTGGCTTTTGTTGGGTGTCATTTCCCCTCACCTGGTCTCACCCAAGCACAGTACTAAGTTACCAGCCACTTCCCCATGACCCCGGCCCTGAGCCAGATCTGGATGGTCTCAGTGCTGCTGAGAAATGGGGTGTTCCTACTGCCGTTCTGAGAAGCCCTTTTAGTCTGGTAGAATCTGTGGGATAGACATGTTGGCTTTAGATCCCAGGTAAGATGGATGTGGCCTCCCCAGGTAGGGTCCAGCCTAGTGGAGAGACATTCCTGGGAAGGGCTGTCTGTGGGGAGCCCTGTGGAACCCGATGTGGCGCACCCTCCCTCTGCTGTCTCTTAGAGGCCTTTGCTACTGGCGAGGGGGGGCGGTGGTGGGCAGATGGCAGATGGGAAAGGCAGCTTACGGGTGGGGAGTTAAGATCAGGTGTCTCATGAGGAAAACTCTTCAAGGAGGTGACAAACAAACCGTGATGGTGTTTGTCCAGAGCCCACATGTCTGGCTGAGGCTGCCTCGGCCTTAGAGTGGGTGGACGTGTCTGTTTCTCTGAATGCAGCATCAGGGCGCATTGGCGCTTCACCACAAGGGGTGGTTCAGGAACACTAATGGCCCCCAGGGGGCGGCAGCCTCCAGACAGCCTCTCCCAGAGCCTGGGCGGAGGGAGAGAGATGACAGGCTGGGAGTAAAGCACAGCCTTACACCCTCAGGCCACTACAGGTTGACCCAGGAAAGCAGGGTGGGAGGGGCGTGGCCGACACTGTGAGTAGCCAAGAGCAGGTATTCACACTTCAGGTTTCGAGTGGATGTATTCCCACCCTCTGGAGTGCAGAGGATGTCACAGATCCATATATAATTACTATTATTTAATTTGACCAAAGAGAGAGTGAAGAAGAGTGAGAAAGCAAGCTGGCAGGTCCGGGACTCGAAGCACTCGGCCATGTGGGAGTCTGGCACCTTCACCACCATGCCACCTTGATAGTAAGGCTGAAATATTTAGGGGCATTTCTTTAGGGGGAAATAGGAATGAAAGTACAAGTCTCTTCAGACACTGCAGGCAGTCAGAGCGAGGGCTGGGAGACTGTTCGTTCAGGAACTATCTCCTGGGTATTACCCACGTTTCAAGCAGGAGCTTGAAACCCTGGGTCTGGCAATTTTCTGCAAAAGGCTGCAAATCTATAGCAAGAAAACCTTGGTTTCCTGGTCCCTTTTAATTCCAGCCGGTGGGATTTTGGGGACAGAGATGAACTGGCTTTCCCCATGACTTGGAGGAAGGGTAGGTTTTTATCTATCCTGAAAGGAGACCTTGCAGACCAGGTGGTGTGGAGACAGGGGTGGGGCCTGACCTGGCTCAGGGCCTGAGTCCCTCCCAGTTCTGGAGCGCTGTGCCCGGTAGGTGCATTCCCTTCACTCTGTTCCCACAGTGGGACAGAGGAAAGTGGAAAGAGGCACCATCTGAGAAAGAACTCCCCTTCTGAGTTCCCCTGGGACCTTCCACTGGGGCCAGGAGGCAAGCACAGAGCTCCTGGGTCTTGCCGAGGAAATAACTGCAAGCCAAAGCCCTTTTGCACAGAGGCCAGGTTGGCGGGAAAGCACAAGTCCTGGTGCTCGCCTAGGGCCCCCGCCCGCCTAGCCCCTCTGCTCCCCACTCACCTGGTTATGGACAGTGGTCAGCTGGTTGTTAAAGGTCATGGTCAGGTTTGTAGACGTGCTGGGGGCCACGTGTGTGATGAAAGGGGTTTTGCTCTGGTTCACGGTGTCGTACATGTTCACCCGACGCTTGCAAATTTCCATGTTTTGGAAACACGATTTGACGCTGTCCATGTGAAAGGCAGGGGCACAGAGACACAGGAGAAGGGTGAGGGGTGATGTGGGGGTGAAGGGGAGGAAATGGAGAGAGCAAAAGAGAGAGGTTAAGCTAGTAAACTAGGTGACCCGGGAGGCCACGCTGAGGTGTAGACCTCCTGGACTTCCTGTCTGTGCGTTTACAACAGTAACATAATCAAGGTGATCCCCCCTCGCCTCCCTCTCTCCTCATGCTGACGGTAAAGGCTCGACACTGCACAGACCAGGGGGCTCTCTGCATTTTCTTCACCACACCCAGCCACCACACCCCACCGGCACTGATCCTCAACCTGCAGTGTGGCTTCTTGGCCCATAAAGGAGCACATGAGCTTTCTGGCTGGGAACATTAACCGGCTCAGGACCAGGCCGTGGGCTCACCTTGTCCCTACCCTGGGTCACTAGCACCATCTAGGGGCCGGCCAAGGAACTTTTCAACCCAGCATTCATGACAGTGGGAGGTACTGCCGTGTCTCCCCACAGGAATGACGTGAGTAATGAAAACAATACTGATTCTGATAATTAATCAGAGTGGTGACATTTACCGAGAGCAGGTAGGTGCTTGCCACTTCTCACCCAGTCCTGCAACATCCGCAGTATGGGAATGGGATTCTCATCCCATTTCACAGGCCAGGCTGAAGCTTGTGAAGGGGGAAGAGGCAACTGGCCGAGGACCACAGGCGTCTTCACATCCGCCTCTCCTGTTGTCCTCCAGCTTTGTTTTCTGACTTTTGTCTAGTTACATAAAATAGAACTCGCTCCCTCTTTCCCCCGTCATTGTATTTGTGAATCAAAGCAAAAACCCTACGGACGAAAGTGAAGCTGACAGGTGCTGACAGCAGCGTGGAGGACAGGGAAGCCCGCAGCCTCGCCCGCTCATTCCCGGGGCGTCCTCGGAATCCAGGCGTTACTGCTCATTCCTGTCGGTGTCTTCTAAAAGTAACTTTTTCTCAAATGCCGGTAGTCGGGATAATAAGATCCCACTTACTCTGTGACTTTAAAATGTCCACTCGGATGAGAAATCATGTAGTAACTTAATACAAAGGACAGTTCTCTACTACCGTAAGACGGACAGACGTCTACCACGTCGGCCACCTAGAGGTGTGGATCTGGGGAGTGCGCGGGCTGTCCCCAAACGTCTTTTCCAAGTTTCAGACAGTGGACTTAGACATGACAGCAGCATCTGACCTCCTTCCAAGTCAGTGACTGCGTGCACCGGCCAGATACTGCGCACACGGTATTGCCTGACTGGCAGCCGCGCAGAGACAAGAACACGTTTACAGCAAACGCCAGCTGACACACCACTCCACTGCCACGGGTGAGGCCGGTGTGTTTTGAGCTCCTATGGAGTACCACGTACATGGCCACGCGCTTACCTAAGGCCGGTATCACGAGACCATGCATTGTGTTTCGTTTTTGGTGGATTTAAAACATTTGGTAGGTTTGTGATAATCCAACACACAGTTTTAAGACTCCTTCAGAATGTTCTAGCTGAAATGCTTTGAGTTTTGAGTTTGGGGAAGAGGCACAGACTTTCACTTTGGGTTAGTTTATAAGGTTTTTCATTTTTTTCTTTTTAAGTGACAGAGCAGAAGAGGAAGTGAGGAGGGAGGGGGAGAGAGAGAGAGACAGGTATTTTCTGACAGGGTCTTGCCCTTGGGGTTCTCTGCCCCAGCCTCCCAGTGAGCAAGGGTTAAAGGTGTGCACGTCTACACCTGGCCTGTTCCAGGTTGTCCAGGACCCAAATCTGGGCCTCCATGTGGCTATAGCCTAGGACAGCAGCACCCTACCCCTTGCACCACTGTGCTTGGGCCAGAAGACTGGCTTTTCTCTCTTTCTCTCCCTGGAGAGTGCCGTATAGCAAATTAAAAAAAAAAAAAAATGTATATATATGAAATAAAATTAAAAATAAATAAAAGAGGAAAAGAAAATTTTTGCACTAGGATCCTGGGGTGGAAAAATGAGTGGAGTCTCCTTGCCTAGTAATCCAGCTGTTGGGGCAGCTGTGGGACACGGGTCTACAGCGAGCTGGGCCTGGAGGTTTGTTCTTGCCCAGGGCTCCCCAGCAAGTTCTATGGGCCTTTCAGGATTAGGCCTACTCTCAGGTCAGGCTCGGGTGCTCCAAGGCCTGCTTTCCTTCTCAGGCCCATTTCAAGTTTGGAACCATCAGGTCCTCCTGGGTCCTATGGTCAGTTCTGCTTTTGCCGTTGATGGCCATGGTCTCCAGGTGACCAAGTCAGAAACACATTCCACTGATGGTCCTTACAGAACCCAGAGATGGGCAGGGTCCTAGGGCCCTCAGGCAAACCCCGAGCACTATGGGGTGACCCTCACTGATACCATGAGAGGGTCAGAGAAGCTTACTAGAGAGCATGCCTCCCCTGAGTCTCCTGCCCACCTGTTCTCTATTGTCCTGCAGCACCATTACCCCGATATAAGAGGACAGACTGGGCTGGCTCTGTGGCTTGGGGATTAAAGCAGCCAGATCCCACCCGGTCGGCTGCATGGTCTGAGTCCTGACCCAGTGGCTTGAGAAATACACTGGGTGAGAGCACGGGCCCAAAGTCCTGCCAAAAGGGAGAGACAGACAAGAAGGGACTGTGGTGTGGCCATTCCCTATAATGAGTGCCCCTTCCTCTTCCTTTCTCTCCAATAAGCTCATGCACTTTCTAGCAAAAACAAAAACAAAAAATAAAAAACAACATCAAAAAAGACTGATCTTGCAGGAGCCCTGTATGTCTTCATCCTTCTCAGACCCTGCCCCCTTTCACAACCTCACTTCCTGGGAAGTCAGCATTTCTGTCTTCCTTTTTGTTAATTTGCCATAGGGCGTGTGCGCTCACCCGTGAGAGACAGAGAGGGAGAGAGAAAGAGGGAAAGTAAGAAATCGTCCCTCAGCAAGGATGACTGTGCCACAATCTTTTCTCCTCCACTCTCCTCTAGAGATTTTGGGCATATATGCACACGTGTCCAGCGTGTTTTCAGGCTGCCAGATCCAGGACTCAGACCAGTTGGGCGTGTGAGCTCTAGCCGCCTTCAACACCAGGCCGCCTGGCCGGTCCTGTGGTGCGTTTACTTCTCCCTTGATCGTTCTCCTTGTGAAACTGGTTTCCACTCCTCCCACTGAAGGGGCTGTCACGAATCCACCACTCTTCTGAGTCATTCATGCCGATCAGATAGATCTTTGTTGGACATAGATCTACCCAGTCACCCCCTACTTCGGAACCTGTCAATGACTGTCCATCACTCTTTGCAGAAAGACCCACGTCCCTTACAAGGGAGGCTTGCCCCGCTGGTCTGTGGCCCTCTCACCTCCCATTGTACCCTCAGGTTGGTGCTCATGCCTGGTCTTAGTGGAGCCCCCACTCGGGCAGCATCCTGCCTGCTCGCGCCATCCTCTCTCCTGTCCCTGCGTCACTTCCCCGAGGGCTTCCCTGGCCTGCCCCACGCGAGGCTGCCTAGTGGCATGCTCCTGGACCCTGCGCCCTTGCTGCTGACAGCCCACGGTTTGGGCCTCGCTCCTTCATGCCTTTGTTTCTCCTGGAGCGTACACGCAGTGGGCAGGGCCCCGCCTGCCTTGTTCACACTGTCCCCGGCACAGTGTAGCCCTGGCTCTGACCTAGAATGGACCAATCAGGTCCTGGCTCCTCCAGGATGGCCCATTGCAGCCTGCGGTGCCGACGCTGGTTTGGCTCTATAGGCACTGCCGTTCTGGGCACCCCGTCATGCTCAGAGAGCCAGATTCTGGCTCGCCTACCCCACGCTCTCCCGTGCCCCAATCCAGCCACCTCTCGTCTTTGCTAGCAATTTACTGGAGTGCAGTCTCATTTGCTTATGCTCTGCATCAGCAGCTGCTTCTAGCTCTAATGACAAGTAGCTGCGACAGGCAGGTACGAATGAAGAGCCTGCGATATAAAGGAAACACCTGCCCACCCGCATGAAGCATCGAGCCGGATACCTACTGTGTACTGTGGGGGAAATCGAGTAAGTGTGTCATGGTGACGAAGGGATGGTTCAGGGTTTCGATCGGGGTGATTCTCTTATCGGCATCTATGGTCAGCATCTTCTTCAACAGGTCGATGAACTCGCGCCGGTCTGCCTTCTCCACTAGGAGGTCGCTGCCTTCCAGATCTGTGGTCATGTTCACCTGGAGACAAGGAGGACAGGTTACCAAGGACCTGGCGGGCCGTGCTGCCCGACTCCCTGCCCTGCAACGTCTTCTGGACCTCCCGAGCTGCCGTTCCCCATCCCCAGGGGGTCCTGTCCTGCCTTGACTGCCCCTAGGCTGTGGCTCCTCTCCCTGCAGGAGCGCTCAGGCACTGGTAAGGGAGAGGGCTGCGGCCAGGACCTGCAAACCCCTCTGAATGACAGGACGTGGACTGCTCCTGCTGCAGTCAGCTACGTGGAAATGCAGCTCGGGTCACACCTCATTAAAAATAACCGCAAGTCCAAGAGTTCAGGAGACTGATCGCAAAACACACTCCTGAGCCGCACGCCTAAGGCAGGCTGCGGCGGTGGATTTGATGCCACTCGTGTCTTACCTCCATTAGGAAAAAAAAAAAAAAAGGCAAAGCAAAAAAGCTTCATTTATTTAACCTTTTGGGGAAATGGAAGGGCCCAGGTACCCTCTCTCCCATCTACCATGGAGCACCCCCCTTTTGGCTCCCGAGTGAGGCCGGGATCATGTCAGTCCCTCTGATCACTGGGGTCGCCTCTGCCCGGGGCCAGCAGGGAGTTGAACACAGGACGTCTCTGTTCCAAGGTGGCCTTTAAGAGGCTTGTTCTGTGGTGCTCTCCATAGCACGAAGCCATGCTCTGGAAACCAGCTTTGGCCTTCTCAGACAATCTACGCTATTAACCACCTGACGCGTGCACTTCACTCGGAACCATGACTGGGTTACACTCTTCTACAGTAAGAGGTGTGCTAAGTGCTTATTGATCTATGGCTTTATTTCTCTCTGCTTTAACACAAAACTCACTTAGATTAGTGTGCACACTAAAAATAGTTGGAAAGCTCTGGAATTTTCTCTGGGGCATAGAGGTGAGAGTTCGTGGTCCCTGCCACTAAACTGCGAGTGTCAGGAGGAGGTCATAGTGGGTTAGGGTGGGCCCGAAATCCCAAGACTAGTATCTTTGTAAGAGCAAGGCAAGGGACATGGGACAGAGAGACAGAGACAGAGGAGACATAGGGTGAAGGCCAGGTGATGAGGGGGCAGAGGTCAGCGTGACACAGCTACAAGTCACAGGAAGCTGAGGATGGCCGGGAGCTACCAGAGCTGGGAGAGAGCTGTGGGCGCGTTCCCTGGGGCATTCAGAGGGAACCTGGCCCCGTGACACCTTGATTTCCGACGTCTAGCCTCCAGGACTGTGACGTGGTAGATGTCTGTGGTGGTAAGTCACCCAGCTCCCTACGTCCTATTATGGCAGCCCCAGGAAACACACTGAATTATGGGCACTGGGCCGGACTATGCCAGTGGGCTGGAATTCTGGTGAAAACAGCAGTCAGGTCGGCCAATACTGTTTGCGAAGGGGAGCCAATGAGTGGAAGCTATAAGGAGCCGGTGTAAGGTTTAAAAAATGTTCCACGAACCAGACGATACTCTTTCTATGGCTGGTGTATAATTGTTTAAGGTCAATCATCCCAGGAGGGTGACGTGCATTTCTAACCAGTATCCTGTATTTCCCTGTGGGCTTTTTTTTTTTTTTTTTTTTTTGAGAGGTTTTTGCCATAGGGTGTGTGTGCTCACCAGACAGACAGAGAGAGACAGAAAGCGAGAAATCACCCCCCAGGGGGGATGGACACACCACAATCCCTTCTCCTCCATTCTCCTCTCAGGATCTTGGGCATGCACGCACACGCGCCTGGCCTGAGTTTTAAGCCACCAGGTCCGGGACGCGAACCGCGGTTGACTACATGGGAATCCAGCGACATAGCCATTGTGCTAACTGCTGGTCCCTTTCCCTGTGGGCTTTTAAAGGGTTTGCGTCGCATACTCACCCACAGAGCTTACCTGGGCCATGTCATCTAAACAGTTAAAAATGTACTTCCGTGCTTCTTTTGACTTAATCCCCGTCTCTGCCTCATGGTCATCTGGCGTCTGTCAAGAGAGGTGAAAGCTGAGTGGTGTGACTTCCGTTTGTCGCTATGACTCAGACCCTCGAGTGCTTGCTTCTAGCTGAGGGGCTCTTTCCCGCCTATCAGAAAAAGGACTTGGATTTGTCCTGTCCCTGTTTATCCACACTAAGTCCTCCCCGTTCTCATGACACCTGCCGGGGGCCTGCTCTGTATCAGATACGGAGGACCCAAAGACGAGTAGAAACGCCACAGCTCTGATTGCCCTACAGCCTTCCCTAAGGTTAGGCGATAAGGTGAGATTCCTGTCTGGGAACTCGGAAGTCCTTTCTACACCTTTTCAAATTGTGTTCTCTTTAACCCTTACCTACGCCAGCCACCAGACCTTCCGTAGGTGTGAGACACTGTTCCACAGCCCGTTTACTTGTTCAGTCCCTTACTTGACCACGTTAGGCAGAGCGGTTGCTATCCCGTTTTCCAGAGTGGGAAATAGGAATAAAGGCTTAGGAAGCTGCCAAGACCAGGTGGTCGGCTGGAGGCGCTGGCTCCGTGGGCTCTGTGCTGTGCTGCCCCTCTTCCAGGGGCTGGGGCACAGACGCACACTTCCCGCATAGATTTGAGACCTACTGCTTTTCCAATAGGTACAGTGTTTTGGATTCATCCATGGACTGGATGAATGAGTGAATCCTTAGACTCAGGACAACACATGTGGGCAGTTCAAATCCTGGACACGTGAGACTGAGGCTCTGAAGAGACACAGGAGGAATCCTGCTCTGGCCTGGCCCTGCTTCCTCCACCTGAGAACGGTTTGCTGGATCTTGCCTTGACACTCCCCCTCCCAGGTGCCCGACAGCGCTTGCTTAGCTTCCCAATCTCTCTTCTCAATCTTTTGCCACTATGGGCCACACATTATCTCTAAACCATATTAGAATTTGGCTGTACTTCCAATCCAAAAAAAAACCACCCACCCACCCACCCACCTACACAAAAAGAACATAAAACATACTTCAGACTTCTGCTATTTTCTCCTTCCCAAGAAAATACATTAAATTACTAGGCACAGATCAAAGTGAAAGCAAAATATGTTTCCTTTAAAGCAGAACCACCCAGGAGCAATGGCGTGCAGCGACGCATTGCACCACCTGCCGGCCGGACGCATCGGGCCCACCCTGGCCCATCCTGCCCGTTGCTCAGGTAGTTTCCTTGGTCTAGAAAACCCTCCCTTTCTTCTCTATTGGGGGAAACTCCTCTTCCTTTAGGGCCCAGCTCAGCTGCTCCTGACCCTCTGCCACAAGGCCATGCCAACTGTCTCTCCTCTGAGGCTCCCACATGCCCCCTACTCCTCTCCCAAGGCTTTCTTCCTGCAGTTTCAGTTACCTGCAGTCAACCGTGGTTCGAAAATAAGTACAGTACAGTAAGACATTGGGGGGGATTGGTAGAGACCACACTCACATGAGGTTTAAGGTGTATTGTTATAAACGCTCTATTCTGTTGTTCGTCTTTTCCCATGCTAATAGAAACTTTACCGCAGGTATGTATACATAGGAAAACACACAGTGTATGTGGGGTCTGGTGCTCTCTGCACTTTCAGGAGTCCACTGGGGGCCTCAGAACGCATCCCGCATGAATAAGGGTGCGCTGCGTACTTATTACGGGGGCTACAGCTGGCAGCATGAGGTTCTGTCTCCCTCTGGACTGTGAGCTCCCAAGAACAGGGTGTGGTTCATGTCCTTCCCAGCACGAATCGGCCGCCGAGGTTTTGGGGACTAAATGCCGGGGATTTAGCCATAACTTGGGACTTGAGCTTCACCGACGGCAACAGGCCGAGGGGGAGAGGACTTTGGAACACTGAGTCTGCTGCACTAGGCCTTGATGAGCCCTCCCCAACCCAACACACTGTTTTGTTGACTGAATGGCAGTGAGACCCAGGATCCACCTGCCAGGGTCCGAGCTCCCCCTAATGGGATCGTGTTCTTTGTCCCCAAGGGCTGGGCTGCTGGCGAGGCATGGAGGGGATGCTTTTCCTACCTTCAGCCTCCACAAAGGATACGGCGAGTCTGTGTCACGGTTGAAAAACCTAGTTGTCTTTGTCCCTGCACTTAATAAATATTCAGCTGGCAAACCCTGTGTTTGTGAGATGTACCGAATCTGCAAGAGAAGACGAGAATGAGGTCAGGGCTCCTGTCATCGCCCACGTGGCCTACTAATGGCTCTAACGGCTGATGAAAATGAAAACGGCAATTTTATAGGGAAAGCTAGAAGGAAAAAGAAAAGAAAAAGGGAAAAGAGTAAAGCGAAACACAAGGTGAAAGAAGGCAAGGCTCAGGAGACAAGGTCGCACCGTCACCCTGTCTGCGTGCCGTGAAACACAGGACACGCTCATCCTGGGTGCTGTCTGGGCAGAGTGAGGCCTTGCTGGGGACGCCTGTGGTATCTGGACCCACCTGGTCATACTCGGACGCTCCTGGATATAATGGCCACCCCAGGAACAGCTCTGCAATCACACAGCCCAGGGACCACATGTCGATCGCCTCACAAAACGGTAAACCGAGGATGATCTC